TTTGGTTTAAAAATACTTATTCGTATACGGTATCCACTGTATAAATGGTTGCTTCCTCTACAGAAAATGTTCCTATTATATGCATGCTCTTTATGTGTTCCCCGCGTCACCTTTTCCCCTGGTCTACATTTACAAACGTAGCCTACCACTGCATGTACATTTTGGAATCCTTTTCTTTGTTCAGTACTGACACAATTGTACCTTAACCTTACACTCAGGTTTGAAGCCTATTCCGCTATGCTTTGATTTTGATGGTGATCATGATTTCGTACTTATTGTTACTTAAAAATCAAGGCCTTCGTTTTCTTTTTATTAATCGGGGGTTTGAAGTAAATTCCTTGTTTATACTGTTTCATTACTGACATCAGTGTTTCACGAAAGTCTTTTCTGAAAGTAAGATATAACAATAATATGTTGCTTGAATAATTAATTCTTTTTCTCAATCAAACTTATCTGCTGTACTTGATAGTAAGCTGGTAAAAATACGTGAACAGGAACAATATTCTTCATTTTCAATTTCTTTTTTAAAATCTGAAACATAACTTCCAAGGTCTAATAGCTGATTGAAGATATTATTTCATACTCTATTAACAAAGAACTCGGCCTGTTCTTTTCAGAGTTTGTGCTTTTGAGCAGTTCATGTTTATTATTAAATTAATTAGATGTCTTCGTCCTTAAATTAATCATTCTAAAACTTTAAAGGGCATTGGTACATCACAGCCTGTGTACACTTCTGTTACTGTAATTTTTAAAAATAAAACGATATCATTGAATTATTTTGATAAAATTTTTACCCTTGCTCAAAATTAAGACTACTTGCCTAGAAAGTAAAAAAAAAACATAACTATGTTGGGTATTTATTTTAAAGCACAATTGTTATTTTATCTTACTTACCAGATTCATTAAGATGCAAAGTGAACGACAAGTGTTTCATTTATCAAATATAGAAAATAGTTTACATTTTAAATTTATTGGCTTTGAACAATCCTGGATCACTTTTTAAAGAGTGGTATGGGGGTGATTGATGTGGCCCCTATCACGACATTTAAACACAGTCTTCTCTGAACTGAACCGCTATTCTAAAGCTACTAAGAAATCCAAATAAAATGCTTGCAATTTGCCTTAAGTCAAAAGTAATTTGCAAGTACGTGTAGTGCTTGTATGTTTTATCCTAATAGACTAGCACACGGGTGAACGTCTTTGGAAGCTGTACGGTGGTATTGGCCAATATCCCAACTTGCAATTGAAATCGTTTGTGCGTGTTTTTAGTTTTATCTATGAGAAAAATTCTTGACGGCTATTTTGGCATCGTTGTACAATGCACCACCAC